ACCCATTCATACTCCTAGGCAGAGAGAGGTGCTGTGAAAGTGAAGTATTTTTGCCCGCACATAAAACACAATGACTTGAATTGGACCAGGTCTTGAGCCCAGACCTCCACAATGTGAGACACTCACCACATCTCCTACATTCTTAAAATGCCACTTGATCATAAATATCCCATACAAAATAGGCCATTTTACAGTTGTGTACTTACACATAGTTGCCAAGCCTTTGATTTGGAGTGAGGCTGAAGGTGACCTTGTTGTGATGGGGACCAGTATCTAGTTGGCATGATAACAAAGTAATCTACATTTGAAAAGTAGCAATGTTTGTAACATAACCAGGTCACCCTTAGCCTCACTCCTGTTCAAAGGCTTGGCAACTACGATGGACTACTGGAGAAAATCTTAATGATACCTTCCAGAGCATAGTCAAACCCACAGTTTTCCTAGAGCTTAACTCTTGGAAAATTGTTCTCTTCCCACAAGAAATGGTGTTCATATTTTTCAATCGATTAGCAACAAGAACTGATACATACCATATATGCTGCAGAACCTCCTGATACTCTGAAGTTTGATGTATTAAAATCCACAGAAAAGACAGTCACCGAAACTACATGTAAAAAGAGCATGGGGAAAAAATGTCTTGCTTGGCTCCTGAAACTGAAAATAAACAATATAGAGAAGCTGTAAGTTTGACGTCAGTAAGTGTAGACAGATCATTACAGACTAAACATTGAACTGATGCGAGAAAAGACAAAGAAAACTTGAAAAAATTAATACCACAGCTCCCTGCACAAGATGAACAGTAATAGATCACAGATGATGCCAAATGTGGTGGGAACAAGTGAATGGCACACAGAGTGCACCTAAGTGTGTCAATGATGTTCTTATCACCTTCTGATGACTTTTGTGATCTTTTACTTAACAGACCCATGGCGACATGGAATCTATTTGTTTTTTTTTTTAACAAAGAAGAGGCAAAAATTGATAATGATGATGTCATCTCTACATCTGTCCTTTAAAAGATCATAGTTAAGAACCAATCAAAATATTTGCATGTTTCAGCTTCTCATATTATTTACCTTATTCATACTTAATTTAGCATGTGCTCAATTTTGCAAATTTGGCAAAGCGGTACTTAACTGGGTTTAACTTTTCGCAATTTCAACAGGCAAATATGAAAATAGGGCCTTGAATTTTGTGAAACAAGCAATGTCAACTTCATTTTCTTTTTCAAAATGTCTTTACTTTTCTACATGGGTATTAAATTTTGTGCATGTAAATTCCACAAGGATTTTCCTTCATGAGTCTTAAATTTTGTGATTTTTTTTTACAACACAAAATGCAAAATGAAGTACCAACGAAATTAAGTAGGAATATAGTTATTTTCAACAGATCCACCAATCCTAGTAAAGTTCTTTTCGTTTGAACATTCTTAACCTTTTGACCCCTAAGAGTGATTAACATCTAATTTCTCCTTACAATTTCTAACCCTCAATCACACATTAAGGTCACAGGAATAAAGGAAATGACCATCAACTAAAGACGCTCTTGATTGTTAAACAAATTCTCCTTGGAAATGTATAGAGACAAGTATAGAGAATGTGTATACTGATGTTGGGGTGTAAAGGTTTAAACCAAACCCAACAGAAGCAAAAGATCCCATCAGAACAACAGAAAGTATTCCAAGAAGGCAATGAAAACTCATGGTTAATACAAGTAAACATGTACAAATTTGAGTCACAACAGGTTTAAGTAAGAGATGTTATTGTTTGTGAAGATGCAGAGAATTTTTATACCATTCAGAAAGAGAAGAGAAGTAAAAGACCTGTGTAATCCCAGATATTCTGAATTACTTTTGATACCCAATTAGTCTTTTCCATCCCTCCTAAGGACACTATACGTATTACCTAAATATTTTATTTTAAGAAAACTCAGTCTTTTGACCGATTCCCCACTTTACACACTCAGTCAAATTAATTGCAAAATACTAAGTGACAATTCTTGTAAACACTTTCTGTTATTGACTTCTTGATCAATGGTGTCATGTCCTTATAGTTACTGCAATTGCAGTCTAGTTTGCTGAAAAAGTAATTGCAAAATCTTAAAAAATAACATGCGATACCACTAAAAGAATGTTTTTGGCCTCCAACAGAGTGTTGACATTTTCCACAGGCTTTCATTGCAACTTTGATTTACATATTCTGCTTACATTGCATGTTTCACTGCATAACAAAAGGAAATTTCTGGTACATTTTGCATAACACTGAGAAATGAGAGTCTTTATCAAACCGTCAAACAGAGAAAAGTTGCCAAGAGCCTGAGCATAAGAAATTGAAGTAGCTTGAAATCCCAATTACCTACTTTTCCTTTCAATTTTTTGATGAAGTTTTGGAGATTGTTTTAATCCATAGTAAATCTGATTTACCCATTTTGCAAAGTGAACTTTCCTATGAATTTCAAAGTCCTCTGTTACATGACTTGCCAGGGGGTTCCATGTTGCGTTTCATTGGTAGGTAGCATGAACGCATCGACAGGCACTTAAGTGAGGTGCAAAAATCGGGAATTTCTTTAGAGGCCAAAAATTTCAGGTTTTTTTAATGCAAGTTACCTCTGTTAAGACATATTAATATATTATATAGATTTATAAGATCTTCACGAAAATTTGCCAGAATGTTCATCAGCTATTAACACACCAAAGTGTGTGAGGCTTTTTACGAAATTTTTTTTTTCTCTCCTGAAGTCCTGGTGACTGACAACAACCTAAATACTTTCTTTTGTCCAACTTCAAATTGATTTTCCCAGGAACCAATAAGATATATAGAAAAAGCCGCACATAATAACTGATAGCCCATTACCTATTGGGTGTTACTGTCCAGTTTGTTTGGAAAGCGGCAAAGGCTTGTAATTCAGTAAAGCAAACTCAGTCAGTTTTGTGTTTTAAGGCTCGCGCGTGGCTATCAAAACGAAAACTGAGAAAAATTTTGTTATTTTCATAATCTATAATTTAAACATGCAAGCTTACTGTGATATAAAGCTTTCTGAGGTTTCTTTAAAAGTGACGCGCGTGCACGTTGGACGATGTTTGTCCACTAAGGTCCTCAGACATAAAAAACGCTCCTTACAATCGTTCCTCCAGCGAGACTTCCCGTCTATGTCAATATTTACCTATACCAGCTGTTGATTTAACTCTCGCTCAATGCTTTACTTACCTTCGTATTCGCTTTCTTCCCCAGAATCTAAAGAAGAGAGCGATCGCACAACTTTCAAGCCAGAAGAAGAATATTGAAGCATGGCTACTTTCAAAGAGCTTAAAATGAAAGATCTTCTCCACGATTAGGGCGACAGTAAAAAGAACTGTTGACAAAAACGTGTAAATATAGCTGTGGTCTCTTAGAGTCTTTTTCTCCACTGAATGTTCGTCGCTGTCGTCAGCTTTTTTGTGAACAGTGAAACCACTCCATAACGAAGAAATATTGTTGATACCTTTGTGATTACTGTGAGAATTAAGATTTGTATGTTCAGGCGTTCTACTTATGATTTCAGAGACATCCTCTCCCGACGATAAAGTTCTTGTCCGGAAAGACTCCATTCCCTGAATCTTCAAGGAAAATCGGAAGAATATATTACATGTAACACAACGAGAGGGAAATCGAAAAGTTCAACAGGATCTAAATAGTCACGTGCCACCACGAGACAACGAGGAAGAGAAACGTGTGGTAACACCGAGGGGACCCATAGAGATATTCATTGAGCAATGATCTTCAGCTTTTTTCGGGGAATAAAATGACGACAACAGTCGATGAAAGAATTTAAATTATCTAACCACCTATGAATCTAACTCTTCTCTCTCCTTAAGTTTTTCGGTTATTTTTTCCTTCTGTTGTATGAAACATTATCCCAACAGTACCCCTGATGTCGATCAAGAAAATTTACCCGGGAGGGGCGGAGAATGGACCAGTTGTATTCGATCAAAGATGGCGCCCTTAGCACTTTCCCTAACGATATTGACGATCGTTTAACAATGGCAAATCTCAAGAACCGAAAGGCCGCCCCCGATGATCTTGAAGCAGAAGCAGAAAAGGCTTTTCAGCGGGCTGCTGCTCAGCAAAATCGAAATGAAGATGATGAGTTCGACCTTGAATTTGAAAGTGCTTTCCAAAATCTTCCGCCAAGTAAAGCTGACGCGAAGTCAGACAGTTCCATTAAGGAGTCGGCCGTCAGTCAAGAGGTGTCTAACGGTCCTTCTCAGCTTCCCATTAAGACAGAAGGACTGCCTAGTAGTTTGCCTTCTAGTCAAGGGTGAGAGGGAAAATTATTCACCGCAAACTTATCACGATCAGATACACTTACCAATATTTGTTTGTTTGTTTTTTTTGAAGGCTTTTGTCAAGGGTTAGTTTATGTATATTTAGCCTCCGATGTTGAGGTTTCTGTTAACTGATGGGTGGATACTAATCTTAAATTAATCATTTTGTGCTTGATATCGCCCCATGTGTCGTTTAAGAGCCTACAATCTTAATATTTTTTCAAGGATGGTACAGATTCACTCTAAACAGCGTGAAATCAAGACATTTTGTCGGTCTTCTAGATTACACTAAGTGTGGATCTTACTAATTTTGGCGTTACGAATCGAGTATTTAATCAATGAATCATTATTTTCACAACATACGGAACATTGTAATTCCCTGTAAATTCAATTTGCTTCAATAAGCTTTAAGTACCAAACTTCAAAACCAATAATAACTTGAATGAAAATTATGGAATTACTTGAATTGGCAAAATTTTTACCTCTGTTCAGTTATATTCACATGGTGCATGTTTTACAAGCTGTATTTTAAAGGAGTTGTGGCCAATCTTGTGCATCTTGATAAAGTTAGCCAAGGTTGTCATGTGCAGTGCACTTTAATCTTCTTCATCTAAAGACATCTTGTGAGGAGCAAAAATAAAAAAATTATTCTCAGTGGGAAAAAAAATGTTATTTATTGACAACAGGGGTGTATACAGGATTTCATAACCACAGATACAGGGCAAGGTTTGGTTGCTCTATTATTTTCAATTATCTATATTTCTTGGCCAAGAGGGAATCGTATGAATTCAAGAATGCCCTCCCTCTAGTTTACACTCAGGCCTGTCTACTCATTGTGAAGCCTAACTGTATACTTTAATTTTTACAGATCAAGTGCATCAGAACTGAACAGATACTCTCCTCGCAAAGAAACTACTAATTATTCTGAAAAGGAATCAGCATCAACCAGTCCTACCTCAGATCAAATGCGACCTGGTAAACGAAGACGGAGATCGGACAAAGATAATATTCCGCCAGGAATTAGGAAGCTACCTTCACCTCCAACAACACTTGAACAGGCCCAGATGGAGTGGGACTTAGTGGAAACTGTTCAGCCAGGTACAGTACTCTGTTTGGGAAATGTAACTTAAACCAATGGGCCAGTAATTTTTCAGACAGTGTTTAGCACAGAGTGGAATAGTGAAAATACATGGACTGCAACACCTCCTTACTCCTGGGTTATGAGAGGGTAGTGTCGGACTGATAAGGTTTTTCTTTTGAGTTATAGCTCCTGGTCTTCTTTTAATTGTTCATAGAACTGAGATTAAATATTTTTATGGTTAAACTGAAGTTGGTTCATAATGCAGTTTCATGTAATGTCATCTAAACTGTATTGTTATATTCAGCTTTGAGTGTCTGTCCACAAGTCTCACATTGATCTGCTATCAGATCAATGTTTCTGCTGAAAAACAGGGTTTTCCATACATTTAATTATGACATTAAAGGGTTTTAAACTCAGACAGGAGACACTTACCGGTATGTGTTCTTGTGGTGTGCATGTACATACAGGTGTCAACCCAAGTTTCCAAAATCTACTCCTTGATCATTAATATGAATGATACCATCCTCCCTGCTTGTCTCCTCAGTTCATAAAATTTGGGCCTGCTTATGTTTTGATAAGGTTTTTTTATTGAAATTATAAAGTGTTCATTGTAAAGGTCTGAACCTTGTCTCAAAATTATTCATTGCGTAAAATACATGTGAACTTGTCTCCTCTTCAGTGTCTGTTTTGTTGATTTAAAAGATCTAGAAGGTTTACCGATCAGAGCATCTTTTCCCACCAGGTTTTTGTTCAATAAAATGCTCTTAATTGATTTCTTAAAAGGAAGTGGTCAAGCTGGTAGCCGTTCACCTCTTATCACGTTCCAGGATGCTATCCGTCACTTTCAAACAGCTAGTTACCTTGAACAGCATATGTCACACATCAAACCAACTGTCAAGCATCGTGGAATGGCAGCTGTGACGCATAAACTATTTGGTCCACCACAAATGAACAGCAGCCTTCACTTGGAACGAAATCTCATCTTTGCTCTTGCTTTGTGTATGTTCAAAAATGACGAAACCATGCATAATCAAGTGTTACAGACTATTTATAAAAAATTAACAGGCACCAAGCTTGACTGTCCTCGCTATGGAAACCACTGGGAGCTGATTGGTTTTCAAGGTGTGATTGTATTTCTATGGATACATGTAAATGAATTAACCCTCCACACCCTGACCTCAGTTTGCAAATTCTCTGTACTAAAGGTGACAAGCCTCAATAGGGTCTTAAGAATAAAGGAAATGATCACCATCTAGAGAGGCTCTTGATTGTCAAACAAATTCTCCTTGTCAGTGCCTTAGGAAATGTATAGAAGACTGCAAGGAGAATATGCTTACTGATGTTTGGGTGTGAAGGGTTATAGAAAAATGTGGGATAAATTCTTCAATCACTCCTTGTAAATTAGATGTACTGTTTTTTGAACTATTTTACAGACTATAGAATTATCACAGTAACTTTTTACTTCACAATTATATTTTATAGGTCTTGATCCTGCAACAGATCTAAGAGGCTGTGGTTTTCTGGGCCTGTTGACAACATTGTACTTAGTAACTGACCAGCGGACACATGCTCTGGCTTTGGATATCTACAAACTCTCCCAACATGAAACACAGAACTTCCCATTTTCTATCATGTCTATAAACATTACCAGGATTGCTCTTCAAACTCTAAGAGAGGAGAAGCTGAATAAGTATGTGCCTCCCGCTTCCAATCAAGCGTTTTATAAGCTGTAAATCGCGTTATCTACGTTGAGTTACATGCGTTACTAGGTTTTGGCTGACTGCAATGTTATGGGCCACGTGCACTGGGAGATGTTATTTTTGTGTGAGTTTGTGTGTTGAAAAATTGCGTTTCGGTTAGGACACGTGTAATTTGGAAATCAGCTAGTGGTTTTAGTTCGTCAACTCGACAGAGTAAGTTCAAATGCTTTTATCTTGAAAATATTCATATTATATCGGGGGAACAGAAGGGCATCCTTTTTACGTTTTATCATTTGTAAGAGGCCAACGCCATTATTGGGCCACTTTTGAATGATTCCAGTTTTTCTTTTACAGGCCATGCAACCGCCGCCGTCAGGTTCTGAACGTTTTTGTTGAATTCTACGCCGCTATTTTCGTCCACGTCTACCAGGTCTGGAAACATCAACATAAGACGATCAGTGACTCAGGGTTTGTGCTCAGGGAAGCAGAGAAACTCGCCAAAAAGCGACCGCGTGACCTGCATAGAAACCTGGAACGAGCATTAGCCGATCGTCAGGGTTTGATCAAAGTTGACGAAGACAACTTTTCTCCGAAGGCGAAACAGCCCGACATACTTGATAAGTTCGCTGGAGTTTGCGATCTACAAGTAGATGAAGAGGAGGAAGTTCATCTAGTGTAATGATTGAGAATTAAGAAAAAAATTATGAGATCATAGTATTAGTAAATAACGAGAGCAGCCAATGAGAAAACGCGAATGGCTGAGACGCGATTGGTCGAGGGAATGGTGTGAGTCCTCTCAACCAATCACAGTGCGCAGTGAAACATAGCCAATAGAAATTGTGGATTTCTTTAGACATTCAAGTGTCCTCTGCTCAAGGAGCTTTTATCGACAAAGTATTCGAATTCAGAATTCTCATCTGGTCATGGGACTCCTGACGAGCAGTGTTTGCCCTCTACTGAACGCTCAAGTTCCTAAAGAGAATTATAATATTTATATAAACCAGGTAGTGCTAGCTGTACTATTACTGTACTGTACTATTAAAGTCACCCCACACAAGGAACTCTGCTTTTTTATTTCCACTTTGTGTATGTTTGGTTTTGCTTTGTATTTGTTTTTGTTCGTTTTTGTGTTTTCGTTTTGGTGGTTCTTCTCTTTATCTTTTTGCTTAATATATTTTTGTGTCAGCAAGTTTGGTCGAAATGGGGAGCTGTTCAAAGAATGAAAACTTCAACACTTTTCTTGCCCAATCCCGTTAGCCATCGCTTCTTGCACAGTACAGTAAGACCGTAACCAGGCCATGTTGGATTAAATTGTGTAATTGAGAACTTTACACCAAAGCACATTTTGGAGCAGACTTTGCTTGTTTTTTTTTTCTCTGAAATTTTAGGGGCACGATTCCGTGGCAATATCAGCTTAACCATTATCTGAACAAAAACTCTCTTCAGTCCCTCGAACACAGGAGTTTTGAAATTAATGGCGACATTGATATCAGTTGATTCTGATCAATAACTCTTGAAGGAGAACGAATATCAAAGCCTTCTCTCAAAGTTAAGTGTGGAACTGTACGATGTTACCGTAAAAATAGACACTGAAAACATCTTTATCTAGTAACTGGAGGAAGTATTTTTATGGCGCAATGTTATCTTTTAATTAAGTCAGATATATTCACTCCTAACATGGTAGCCGAGTCATTATAAGCAATCAAACTTAGATTTGAGTGTAGCTGCTGGATTGAGGCTATATCAAGCCTCTGCTTATGTCGATTTACGGCGATGAATACGGAAAAATTGAATTTGAAATTTTGGCAATATTATATCGCGTGTGTTTTTCTTGGACTCATCAGACCTTCAACCGTAATTCCTTAACTAGAGTTCTGAATATCACTTTGAAATTAAAAGTTTTTGGATATTAAGCAAATTGTAGTTATCATGTCATAACATAAATTACGTTTAAATTCACTTTATATGAAATCGGGGTTTCGATCGTTTGAACTGTGAAGTTTCTTCTATTGGGCGTTTTATATTGAATCAAGGAGAGCATTTCCCCTGCAGGAGTTTTATGTTAGTTTTTATAAAAATGTTTATGTAGTGGTTGTCTGGAACAATTCGAGAAAACACTGATTGTCGCAAATTCATTACCATAGTTACAAATTAATTCCTTGGAAAATAAACGAAAATACACGAATATAGCGAGTCTGTTACATAACACTTTGATGTCAAAAATTGCTCCGATAAATAACTGAAGTGAGAAATACCTAGTGACATGCGCAGTTTCTAATTATAAAGTTGAGACTGATGCAAGAATAAACTTATGGGGTTGCTAAGAATTTACAAAGGAAGTCGGACTTAAAATTTATCGCCATCCTCTTTGGTTTCTTTCGCGGTTTCTGTTTCTATTCGCTGATAGACACAATATTCTCAAGTTTGAATTTTCCATGCAACATTTTCTGAAGCAATATTCCGATAAATACCGTTAACCTTAAAGAGATGGTCTCTAAAATATGAGAAACTTCCAAATTCACACACATTATGTAACGTTCTATGCCGCTTTCTGTAGAGTAACTCAGCTTTTGACCCTAGCAGTTGGGTGATATGATATTCCAATTCACTTATTCTGTGTTCAAATGGTTTGCATTTTCGAGAATGATGTTTTACCTTCTGTGCACTAAAAAGGGCGAATATTTGTAATATCAGTGTTACTAATTGGTGTTATCTCTCCGCCTCGAACGCAGTGCGAGATAAATGTAATCCTTTGTATAGAGGCAGAATATGAAAGAATTAGCGCCGTGTCAGCAAACCATGCCCAATATTCATGTCAATCCTTCCGCCCTTTTCTGTATACGTTGAACTATGTGCTGCATTCTTGTCCTGTGATAAAATCTGATCTTTCCAAAAACGCCAACTATATGGTAATTAAGAGGTGCTTAGTCATCAATACGAGCATAAAGAACCTTCTGCGACACTGAATATCACTTAGCATTGTTACTTAAGAGCCCACTTGAAATTTCAAAGAAAGAATTTTCTATGAAGCTACCTTAAAGAGCATGTAAATGGAATCTTTTGGTTCTATTATGTCAATCAGTTCTAAGTGAGAGTTTCCTCGAGCCTTAGCACTTCGTCGGCATGAATCTTCGCACCACATTTCTCTACATGTCAGTTTTTATTGTGGTTAGTTCGGCATATCGTTTGAGTCGCTTCCAAAGCCACAAAAACGAAGGAGATCCGTGGGAAAGAGAAGAAAATCCCGACCGCGATTTTCTATACCGAAATCTCGGGTAAGACATTTTCGTCTAAACTTTTACAATGGTTTTTCGTTTCAACTCTTCTTCAGTTAATCCCATAGGCATTTGTCTCTCTCCTTCAAGATTTGTCATGTTATAACTGCTTGATTCGAAAATTCAGATGACAAGTTGTTTTGTTAAATTTCGTTTGCCTTTTTCTTTCGGCTCTCTCTTCTTATTGTCTCACGTTGTGAATAAATTAAATCAAATGTTTTTTCCTTTTTGCAATTTCTTTACATGTAAATTGAGACAATCTGAAAATTTCTTCGAAAATATTTCCCCATATTTTGTAGACTTTATCAGCGTTGCTTCTCTTCATAGAATTCCGCGGAAAGGTCTTTGAATCAAGACGATCGTGACGCTGCGATTTAATTTTGCCATGAATTGAGATACTCAGTAATTAGGGGTGCACAACAATTCGAAAATATTTATATTTCCAAACCGAGAGAGACTAAAGTCTATAGCGAATTTGTAAGTTGGCAAGAAGTAATCATCCACTGCGACATTTTTACAAAAATCGCGCCTCTAATGCAGGTTGAATTACAATGAGGTAATGTTACTGTACGTTTTCACACTCATATGCAAGTGGGACCAGTCCTCTTTTCTTAATTCCCTAGCCCTCAGAAAACTAGAAAGGTAATGCGTAGTATCTTCAATAGTCTACTAAAGTTTTCAATATTCTATTTGGACCGAAATAATGAGTTAAAATATATGAGCTAAGGTTACTGCTTTGCTTTACCTACTTGTAGGGTGTTAAATTACAATGTTCTGGAGACCCCACAAGTCACCCCTCCCCCGCCACGCCCATACGTGGGACCCAAGAATGGAAAGTACAAATACAAGTACTGGAAGAAGAGGCCCAACAGACGGCGACCGCAAGAAACTTCTGAATCTGAGTCAGATGACGAAAAAGAAAGTGTCGAGACGGAGAAGAAGAGATTTTCTGATGTGATGCGACCTCCCTCTCAGAGATGGATTCTTTATGGGAAGACCATGCTTATTTGATTGATTGACGTTTAAAAATCCTAATTATTGTTTAGCAATTCTCTCTTCTTACTGCTGTACGTTTTGTCGCGGGCAAGTTAAGAGAATTTGATGCGATATCACGACAAGGGTACCTCCTCTGGCTGATCATTTTCTCTTTTCTCGTCACCTACTTCTTAGTAATTGAATCGATATTTTAAGGAAGAAGAGACATGTTGTTATTGCTTAGAAGGGTCAAAACCGCTGAGCGTAATTGCGAGTCGAGAAACTAGACTTGACTCACGCTGCAACAGAGCATAACCAATGATCTTAGATTCCTGGCCACTCCAACGCAGTTCACATTGCAAAGATCATCTCATCAAAATAGCTTATTAGCCCCGCGAAATATTCAGTTTCCATTTGCCTTACACCAAATTCAAAATTTCTCTCCTTGTACAAATGCAAAGTTATAAGTCACTTCGTGGCGTAATATCTGTACCGTTTGATAGACTGATCTTCGATCACTTTAAAGCTTGAATCATAGCTGTTGGGTCCCTGTGCTGTGTTCTGCCGATTGATGTAGTACAGTAGTATACAAGTTTCCTTTAAAGCCGTTTTTCGTGATGTAACGCAACTTTCTCTCGAAGCGTGACATTTTAAAGCTGCGAAGCATAGCATTCAATAAAAACCAACAACAATAACCACAAACAACTAAAAAAACGCAACGGTTTATCCCCGGACGTGATAGTGTAGTCTGATCGTCTAAGTGGGTGTAGTCCGAACGACCTGGATCGAAACAGATCAATTACGACAGACTTATGCTACTTGAGTCTTACAGCCAATAACATCGTAGCAAAACAAACCAATGAGTTTATACGAACCAGACTTTAACACCCACCCTGACCATCCGACTACACTATCACAACAATAAAAATGACAACAGCCTCGTTAAAAAAAAACTATTTCCTTTAATTATTTACAACACTCGCAAATAAAATTTAAAACTGAACCTTTCAAGGCTATATCTGCGACTGAAAGTTTTTCTCTAAAACGTTACAAACCTTCAAATGAGCACGTAACAAACCCTTCTCATAGACTGAATCAATTAAGCCGGGTTGAACAGAAGACTGAATAATCTACTGACATCAAAACTACCAAGTCACCTTGCTAAGCACTATTCCCAGACAACGTGAAGAAAATGCCTTTTGTTTGTTTGTTTTAAATACAGTAGCGGTAAGTTTCTTTTTCTATATTCACCCTTAGCTTGACTTTCGCGGCAGAACCTTGGGTAGGGTCCTCCCTTAGCGTCTAACTGGCAAATCTCTTTGGGAAAATGATTGAGAACACGTCCTATATCCAAATATTTTACAAAAGACCACTTTTTGCCAATTCAGGCGCAGAAACTGAACCTCACTTCCCCCTATAGTCACCACGTCTTAGTTAAGTGTACAAAGCGCACAAAATTCAACTTTGTTGGAAGGTGGCCAATTTACATGATCAACTAAGTTGAAAAAACCAAATTATCTCCTCATACCCCCCCCCCCCCCCCCTTATCCATTGCAGGTTGTTTTGGTTAGTTATCACTCTATATGTTCAAAGAGAGGGATTGGACACCAACTAAAAGCCCCTCTCTCTTTCCTACATGATAATCCCTCACTTAGGTCCAGTCTTTCTTTTTTGTAATTCTTGTGTAAAATATAGTGCTGCTTCTTAGCTTTTTTCTTTCACTGTGGATTTTTCTTGTTTTTCTCCTTTCCCAGAAGCTATTTTTCTCAACTCTTCTAATCTGGGTTTAACGCCGTTCAAATGATTGATGCCATCATCTATTTTGTCCTTGGTCCATTCTTTCACCACACTATCGTCGTAGACTGGATTAAAAACTTTTGGTACCTTGGACTGCACCGATCTTAGAATCTGTAACGCTCTGGAGAAACAAAATAGAAATTTAAAGCCAGTTCTAATAATATCAGTTTTAGAAGGAGTAGTGGCCCTTGGGAGGGGAGGGACAAGGAGAGAGAAAAGTATCTCGCTGAAGAACAAAACATGACAAGGCTCTTTAAGGCTCGAACCCAGACCTCTCCTAAGAGTGTCCAGTACGCTGACCAGTAAGCCAATGCCTCACTGTGTCTAGCGCTAGCCAATGTAGAGACAGCCCACAGCTGATAAAAAAAAACTTGCTAAATTGAATAATCACCCAATCAATGATAGTTTATATCAATTGAAGAAAGAGAATACCATTCTAAAGTTTAGCAGCATAAAAGGCTTCTTACTTCATTGTTCTGTTATACGCCATCTCCACTTGAAAATAACTTAGAAACTTGTTTTGTACTTCACGGTCTAGCAACCAGCCTTGCTCTCTACAATATACGAAGATAAGATCAATGCATCAAGCATTTTGTTAGTTTGTTTCCTTGTTTGTGTGTGTTTTGTTTGTTTTCTGTTGGCTTATTTAAAAGTACAGAATAGGAAAACGAAAGCGATTGTAATCAGGGACTCAGCTGCAACGTGGCTGAGATGTTGTGAAGTGCTAAGTTGGTTTTCTGGGGTCTCAATTTCCGGCCCTAATATCAAAATGCTCTATGAGTAACGCCGTCGAGCTGTTTTGACACCACGCCCTATCATAGCTGAAACAATCGGATCAATTTCAGCACCTGAACAATTGCACACCTACCCCTCTCGTAACACAACAACAATCACCTGATAACAAGTTAGGGTTAATGTTGGGTTAAGGGAGGAGCAGGTACGCAGTTTCTCAGACACTGACCAAATTATCTGATATCCCGCTTTCTCGTTTGTATTTGATTGACATATGGCGTGTCCCACAGGAACACGGAAAGAAGCTCTTTTTTTCAGCGGAATCCACTTCTCTGCGACGAGACGTTATTATCATTATATTTTTGTGAGCCCTGAAGACGGAATGGGTACGCTCAACTCCAACTCAAGAACGCTTCCATAAAGTTTTAAACTTACATGTTCCCAACACCTCTTGTAAAGAACACTGCCTTCTCCAGGTGGGAAACAAGTGTGTATAGTTCATGACCTGGAAACGTTCCTTCCGCCGGATGAAACCTATGGACAGAACCGGAAGTTAAGGTGGTCTGCCGTATCCTCGACCAAATCCTCTGCAAGGCACCCGTACAACGTTGACTATTTAATAAATAGGTTACATTTTGCCTTGCATCTGTTTAGTAATAGATTTAAGATAAAGTTTAAAAGTGGTAAGAACAAAAATATGGCAGTGATGTCCATATCACATTTTGACGTCATCTGTGATCTATTTCTGAGCAGACCACCGCAACATGGAATCTATTTGTTTTATATGATGAAAAAGCAAAACACTTTCAGAGGCGAAGATGTGAAAAAACACAACACCTTTCATGACGCAGACTAACAACTATGCACATGCGATAATGAAACAAAAGAAAACAAAAACTGACTATTTAAGTGGTCTTTCTGTTTTTGTGTTTATTGTTAATAAATTAGGCCCTTTTGAGAAGCCATTTCATAAACTCAAGCTTCGTGTTTCATCAGGATTTCCAAACACTCGAAAACAATAAAAGCATTCGGCCTTCGGCCTCGTGCTTTCATCAGTTTTCTCGTGTTTGGAAACCCTGATGAAACACTTGTCCTCGTTTATGAAACATTTCATCTTACTTGCTATTAAATCTCTCCACATTGAGAGGGAATGTTTCAGGAAGCCCCAGTCCTTTTGCTATCACTTTTTTAAGTTCCTCATCCATATAACCTGAATTGTTAAAAGACGGAGGCGATATGTTTCAGGCCTGGTTCGTTTGAAGGAAGTCAATACTTCACTAATTTATCCTCGAAACAAAATCCTGAGCAATCCTCTGAATAGACTTCGAGCAATCACTGAATGTTGTAAAACCGAACCCAAAGCAATCATTGAGGCCAAGAAGAACACAAGAAAAATATCACAAGGCAATGAACACTCAATGTAAAAACATAGACTATCGGCGGAGGACAACGCGAGTGGCAAAATTCTTAGTGATACATGGCCAAGGGTTGTTAGAGCGTTTTTCAATTTAGCGTCATAAAACCAAAACCAATCTAATATCGACGGCAATCAGGAGAAAGAAAAATATCACAAGAGGCCGACGAGAAGACAAGGTAAAACAACCAATGAGAACCAAGGTAAAAAAAGCAAATGAGAACGCAAGGTAAAAACAGCCAATGAGAAAAAAGGTTTTAATTTTGAACCTAATTAGTTGATCAGATAAGGTGGTGCCATTTACTTATTCAATCATTGAGCAAAGTTTATTAAAACTAATCCAATTTTGGATTACTTTAGACACACCAGTGCTCTAAGATGTGTAAATTTAGGAAATGATTACAACATGTACCTTCACTCAATGCTCCAAGGCAAAATGCCAATGAAGGAAGAGCTGCTGGAAGAAGCTCGCATAAAGTGGCATAGTGATCATATCTACAAAAAGAGAGTGAAAAAAAAAAAATTATCACTTTTATAGCATACCAATCCAGCTGCTCTAACAGCCGTTCTCAAGTGATTATGTCTCTCAAGAGTTTTTAAGACTTCAATTTAAGAAAGTTTGTAAGATATTCTTAACCAGGAATTGGTCTCTTGGCATGTAATAAGTTTTGCCATTCTCCAGGCTGGCATTTCTTAAACCTGCTGACAGGATTGTGGGCCTGTGGGCATAACTGACTCAGAATTGCTAATTCCTTAGCAGAGGGATATAACTATGTTATTATGATGGCCCCAAAACAGGATGATTATACGGTAAGATTTAAAAATAAAATATACAAACTTGCAATAATGCAATATTGTTAACCCTTGGAGCCCTACGAGTGACAAGCATCTAATTTCTCCTACAGTATCACCCTTGAATCACACATCAAGCTCTCAAGAATAAAGGAAATGATCAACAACTAGAGAATCTCTTGATTGTTAAGCAAATTCTCCTTGTCAGCACCTTAGGAAATGTACAGAGAACAGTATGAAGAATTATCTTACTGATATTAGATTGCCAAGAGTTAACAGAACAGAGTTGGCACTAACCACCCCTTGACACACTTAACCCTTAAATTCCCAGAAGTGATTAACATGTAACCTCTCCCAACAATATCCATCCACTATCCAGCAAACAGGTAGTGAGAATACTTAAACTCATCAGATACAAGTTATTACCTTTGATCAAACATCAAATTCTTGTAACCAATTTACAAGGAAATGTGTAGCAGCTAGAGGGGAGAATTTACAATCAGATCTTGGGAGTTAAAGGGATAAAACAATAATTGAATAATGACATTGCACAATCATACTGCATTACATACCTGCTCCAGCCAGTCAGGGCTACACCATTTACTTCTAGAGTGGATGGTAACTTGGAAATGATATCCAACCAGTATAAATTGTTTTGAACATGAAATCCAATTGGAACAAAGTTGCTCCATGGGTGAGTGGCTCCTTAAGGAAGAAAATTTTTAGCAGAAGTAACAATTAAATAACACCTACAACTCAATATCTCTTTGTTTGCTTCCAGGAGGTAATATGTTCACAGGATGTAATAAAACACATAAGCATTGAACTCTGTAACTTAATTCACAAGTGACTAAGTTACTGAGCTTCTTTCAACCTGGCAGGGTCTGTAGTTGCATTTTGAGCAAATCTGAAGAAAATTTTTGATGTTTTATGAACTCTTTGTAATCTAAAACTGTGGAATTAAGTCACAAATTTTCATATATAATTCTAAAGACTGATATACTAATGTCTTCAAAAAGAAATTGATGATTCTCCAAAATTTGTCCATTTTTATAATAAAAAGTTGTCTTCATACAGGATAAAGTTATCTGATTCAAGTTAATGCATAAGTCAAATTCATGTTACCTTTAAAGGCACTTGCAGCCCAAATCTTCTTAAAGGCTTTACCATATCTCTGCCACATATCTTAAGAATATCAAAGGCAAAGACTTAGAAAGCTCACAGCAACAGCAAAACATAATTTACATTTACACATAGCGCACCCTCCAAACTTGATCAACATGACTCAAATAGATTTCAATTGGTTGAAAGAATTTCATGATGATGGTTTGGCCAAGGAAAATGAATTTTGTGAAGTAGGCATGTTTATGCTCTGATTGTCTACAACCAAAAAATATTCTGGCCAAATTGTCTATAAGTGCAATGTTAAGGCTGGTAACTCGAACAAGCTCTTTTGATTCCACAAAACTTAGCCATTCTCAAGGGTTTGACTTGGCATTGAGGATGCACCTTGGTAGCTGAGTAGAGCTTCAATAAAAGTGAACATATGACCCATCAGCTGGGACAAAACAGTTGTAACAACATGGCCTTTGAAAAGGCAGGTCTGCTCTGATTTAACAATAACAACAACAAATTCTACTTAAAGTTTTACCAGGAGGAAAATAGCCAGTGAGATCAGATCTGTAGGCCCAGACCATTGGCTCAACAAGAGGACCAAGCTCTGTCAAACAAAATGAGAAGAAAATATAATTCAAAAGATAATAACATAAAATTATTCACCAAAGTGGAGGTAAATAACCACCACTTTCAGCAACACTGAGGTGAATAACAGTTTCAGAATATACCACACAGAACCATGTTTAGTTTACATTCTATTTCTTGTTTTCAATAAACAACGGACAGAAATTTAACCCTTAATGTGCAATTTTCTCTCTTCGTCTGCTTGGAGGGGAATAGTCTTTGCAATCACCGCATGCAGAGAGCACTATTCACCACTGTGGCAAATAAAAAGTCATCATTTATCACAGTCAAAACAAAAAGGACAACTGAAAAGTTGGGCAGTAAGGTTTATTCCAAACCTCCCATTAGTGTAAATCCATCCAATAGTTCTTTACCTTTCAAGTATTCCAGAGGCCAGTACCTCATCATGTCATCCCACATGATTGGTGTTACCTTCTTGCCTTGCAAGTGTTTGAGAATGGGTTTCATGTGATGCACAAACAATTCAGATTTATTCCGTGCATCTTTAAGACAGACAGGGCATGTCTTGAGATTCCACACCTGATTGGAAAAAAAAAAAAAAAAAAAAGACCAATATGAAAATGCAGTAGTTTTAATTCTTGTTATGAAAAGTTTCCTGTGCTAAGTTTTCAAATTAGGTTGGTGACTACTATCAAATGCCCTCAACTTGCTACATGTAATTTGCCTGTCTCCATGCAGAGCCCTCGGAACTGAGTACATTCAAAGTCGTTTGTAACACTGCATGCCATTTCCAGAGCCAAATAGCCTGGCATTAAAATTTCAGTCTGCTATTTTGCCCTGCTCTGGCACTCTTTGTGAATAATGGAAGTTCTTATTGTTCTGTATTTGGATTTGATTTAAGGGAAGTTGTAACATTGCATCAAGCAGAAAGCCGACTTTAAATATAAAAATTTTAACAGTACAGCCATGTGTAATGACCTTCTGTGCCCTGAAAAGTTACTCAATATATAGCAACAGTAGATATCAAATCACCTCATCTCCTCCAATATGAAACCACTGCAAACCAGGATGGAGAGCTAGAACTTGATCAATGAGTTCTATAACCATTGGAACAGAGTCTAGAACAGATGTTATACAAAATTAACCAATATTATGTACTTATTTGTTAATTCTTCAAGTTGGTGGCAATTCACACGAACATACCATTTGGTTTTATTTTCCCAATTTGTATTACTAACCTTTGTTATTTGGGCATAATGAATTAGTGTAGTGTTCTGTTTCACGAAGATAGGCAAACTCCTTGTGCTTCAAGACAAACTGAATGGAAAGGAAGGTAAATTTTACAACAGATTATGTACATATAATTACACATGTGTGGTTTACTTAAAAAAAAGCAAGAATAAAAATAGTTTTTTTTTTATTAAAATGAAAAAATTAACTATTGAAAAAAAGTTACTACTGCATGATGTACAAGTGCGTAGATTAAATTTAAAAAGATTCAGAAAATTGGTCCTGGTTTTTTTGCTTTTAAAAAATTGTTTGCTTCCTGGAACAGATAATGTCTGCACACAAATATCAAAACGAATTTTTAAACCAAGTAGAGGCTATAATACATTATTGTAAACTTAAAATTACCAAGTTGCTGGGGACTACTCATCCACCCTAAAGTATTGAGATACTTATTGCAATCATCAGAGCTTCACTGGCTGCTAAAAGAATTAACTGAAATTGCTAGGAAAAAGTATTTATTTGAATATTTATATTGACTTTACCTCCAGATGACCAAATGTCTGTACCAGTGGAATTATAATAAGATCATTTGCTGCTGCTGTCTCCAGCAACTGTTTAATTTCAGCTTCACTGCAAATACAAAATCAAATTATAATTTTTTTTAATCCTTTAACTCCCAGAGGTGATTAACATGCAAATTCTCACTATAACATCCATACAATATCCAGCAAACAAGTTGTGAGAACACTAGAGCATATCAGGAAGAAGTTGATATCTTGGTCTAACACCAATTTTTCGCAACCAATTTCCAAGAAAATGAGTTAGCAGCTAGAGGAGAGAACTGATGATTAATCACAATGTGCAAAACCATAGTACCCATAAACTTTCTTCAGGTTTGATATCAACAGCAAGGAATCTTCAAATGCACATGTCTAAATGATAAGGTAATCTAAATAGGAATTTACTACACATCTTTTTCTTACAGTTATAAACAGCATTTACCTGTATGAGTTTTTAGCCTGTAAGACTTCATATTCTGCCTTGTAGGGAAACATATCTTCATACTCAACCAGCAAACCAGTTGCTCCCCACTTCTTAAAATATGGCAGCACCTACACAGGTTTACAAATTGATAATATTCAATTTATAATTATCAAAATTAATGACAGATATCACATTTTATGATATATTGTTACTGGCAAGTAATTATTAAATCTTGTAAAAAAATATCAGTTATTTCATAATTAGAATTAACTAATTAATTTTGTAGGTATAATTCAGCTGGTCAGCAGTGTTGATTTAACCGTTTTAAAACATTTTTTGTGAACCTGGTAATATGGTCATGTAAATTTATATTCTGCAAGTATAGTACCCTGATTCCATACAGGGAGAGAGGGGCAGGTACCAAATGGATAAAACTGAATAGGCCATAATTAGCAAACCTGTTTCCAAACATGTTTTCAAGCATATTACTGGATAATAACACATACATTTCTCATCTGTAATTATTACATATAGATTTCTCTTTTTATATGTAAGGTGCATGAAGTTGCTTCAATCAGTATATGATACCTGTATCAGAAAAGTCATTTTTGTTGGTGCTCCCTTCAAATCCAAATGAACAAGTTTGTGACCACTAAATCTGGAGATTCAAAATTGATAACAAATATCACTTTTATGGTCATCAAACTGCATAATTGATAATTGACCCTTTAATTGTCATGAGTGAACTAAATGTAACTTCTTCTTACAATATCAATACAATATCACGCAAATAAGTAATAAGAATATAAAAAATATATATCAATTGGATGGATTAGGGGACTGTTAATTGATCCAATACCAAATTCTCCATTACAGTAATTTAATAAGTAAACATAACAATTGTATGGCAGACAGTAGGGAGAATTGCTAATGATATCATGCGAGTGAAAGAGGTTCAGCAATACACTTAAACAATGAAGGTCAAAATTTAGTCAAGAGAACTTATTAAATAACAAAAATTTCCTGCCACTAACAAACAACTAGTCTAAATTCAATGCATGAGCAAATATGCCACTGGAAATACTGTTTTCACAGGCTGCCTATATTTATATCATAATTTGCAAAAAGAACTCGGTTTAAATTTCTCTCACTGAACATATTTGATACAGTCTGAAGAAAGGGATGAGAACTAACTTTCTTTTGACAGTTTCCATGTCTTTTTTCTGGACTGTGTCTCTTGATACTTCTGCTTCTGCAAGCTGCTTTTGAAGAGCCTCTATAGTTTCTTGAGCTTGCCTCAGACTGACATCAAACAACCCACCTTTTGCAATACTGGCTAGTGATTTTAAATCTATTGAAGATTCTAAGGAGAAATTGAAAATGCAGTCTGATAGAACATCTACCATAATAATTGTATAATAATGCCTTTCATATGCTAGAACCATTGGGCTTCAAACTAAAATAATAATTAAATAAAAAACAAATCAAAATGTTCAAATGTGGTTCGTTTTTAATATCATTTTACTTCCACTGATGTACAGGGAAGTAAAGCTAGATTATTACTGGAATTGCAATCCTTAAGCTTTTTGGGAACCTGTGCATGTAGCAATGTTCTGTTCACCGCTGGGTGGGGTACTTATGGCTGTGAAACTCCTGGGTGTGGAAGTGCTTCTGATGCAAATTTACACAGCATTAATCACAAGTGAACATAATAACTTACATTAGGTGAAGGTTTGGTGTCTAAAAAATTAATTTTCTTAAAAAACCGAAAAGTTTTCTTCGATTTCGCGACGCACTTCGGTGAAGTTGACGACGGAACAGCGCCATTTACAACTGAGCTTCAATTATGGTGAGAAAAATGTTAATGTAACCACTCTCGGGAGACGAAAGAAATTTTTGGCCCGTGCAATAAACTTTAGTGGAAGTAACAAAAATTATCATGAACTGTTCAGATTAAGCTGAGAACTTAGCCCACCTGTAGGAAGCTTGTTGCTGGTCCGTGGGGTGACACTTGCAGGCAGAGGGTTTCTTTCTGAAGAGGAGTGCGATAGTTTGTAAAAGATATAAAGCACAACCACGAGCGAAAAAATTATTCCAACGTTAGTGTAGTTGATTCGCATTATATTCATGAAAGCCAGCTGTTAAAATGAACGATCGAACTTTCAGAGTACGGATGATTTCATTCCGAACTGTCTCCCGATCTGGGACCAATCTTACCTAGAGCCCGCCGTTCTTTACAATCAGCAGTAAAATGAAACAAAGTTAGTCCTTTCATGTATGGATCATATAGACTGATCATGTTAGCCGTTGAAGCTATGGACGCGCGAGGGCATGGGACAAAATTAAGCAAAGGGTGGAGCGTTAGTTTATATCGCTTGATTATTTTTTCGGTAAAATTTCCGCACTAGTACAAATCTGTTTTTCCAATGGAAATGTATTGTTTTTGTCATTGTTTTCTCTAGCCAAGAACTGAATGTATGATGGAGCTGTGCGGAAATTTTACCATTTTTTTCTGTATATTAATCAATGTATATTCAGAGATTAATTCAGGAATTGAAAAGAATAGGCGAAAACACCTGACGTTTCGACATCATCATTACGTGCGTTTTTAGCTCAAAATAAAAACTAAAACAATTGAAAGGTTAACTAATGCGAAAAAAGCGTCATTTTTTTCCATTTGAACAAACAAAAACAATGACGGTGCTTCTAATAGTTCTTTGTGAATCAATAGCTAATTAATTTCGAGGTCTGTTTTAACAACAGCAACTTTGTGTAGTGAAACAAACACTGCAGCGCAGTAGTGCGATAGCTGAGTTTCGATCTACGAAAATTTTATCTTTGAGCTGATGTACATCCATGAAAACTCAGCGTATAATCGCACTTAATTTGGCCCAAGCAGTGTATGTTTACTCAACTCAGTTTTTTTAAAACACCTGGGCCATTAAACTAATTATTCACATGGATCTATTGGACTCAGAATTCAGTGCTATTTATTTTGCAGTGGAACTGTTTGAAACTTTTTTGGTCCACAAAGGTAACGGGTTTTATTCTCTCACTTTGAATTTATTTGTAAAGTTGTATCAAAACGTTGCTTATATCTTTTCATCAATACGCTTTCTATCAGTTGAAATATTTGCGTAATTAATTTCATTTATTGATAGACTGAAAAAATCGTCGTTCAGTGTATGACTTCTTTGTGCTAAGCCCGTCGATGAAACTTAATATGATCTGTTTCGTTAAAAAATATTTAAGAGTCACGAAACGCACGTTTTGTTACACCGAGATAGAGAGCGGGAAGGAGGGATTTATCCATAATTCCCAAATGGCTGAAGACTCGGAATGACCCTGTAAAACATCTGAGTATACAATAAACTTCAAGATTGAGAAATTATATTTTAAAATAAATTATATCTTCCCGAGACGAGAAATTCATTTTCTTCCATAATTTTATCGTGCAACCATGTAGCTGAACGAAGTCAACCGATATGACTCCTCTTCAGTTGGAATCCACCTTAGAATGCATGAATGGAAATCTGCCGTCGTGGATCCAGCCAACAAACGGAATGAGAGAGAAAGAGAGGAAATAATCAAAATACTATCACAGGGAAAATCATTAAATTGCGAGCGTTGTGAGGAGTCGCAGCCATTTAATACGCGAAGGTCTATAGACTGAAGCTTTTGTTGCAACAAAGGGAATAACTTCACCGTGCTTCAGTTACGAAGATTTTGTTTTATTTTTCACAGTGCAAGCCTCCCTCTGTCTTGAGTGAACCCAAAGCTTACAAGCTCACTTCAGATAACGAAGTGAATCGTTTTCATCGTTTTGTTCAAAGTCAGCAAGAAATTACATATCGGTCAATAGCATCAATAAGTGTGGGTCATCGATGGCTTTTCCCTCTGAGGCTGAAGGCATCGTTTGGTGCAGTATTTTTACATTAGCATCCGCCTTGATTGTCATTGGAAATCTATTGACTATTATCCTCTTTACAGCAAACAAAAGACTTCGTAAGAAAAGTTTGGTTCTTGTCATCAACATGGCGGTTGCTGATCTGATGTTGGGAGCTGTATCTCTACCCCTTTACATTTACTTGGTTGGTATATCCGATTATCAGCTTTGGACTGAAACTCTGGACCTGAATGTTCCCTTTTTAATCGCTGATATCCTTGCAACGAAAGCGTCATTAATATCTGCAACCTTCATTTCTTGTGAGAGGTTTTACGCTATATATTGGCCGTTTAAACACCGAACATTAACGACTCGAACATACTATATTGTAATTTTCATAGTCTGGACTTTAGCTCTCCTTAATACTTGCATATTTCAAATGTCCAGCCTGCGAAAACTTTTTCCCTATATTTTGTTGTCACTCGGTTCGACCTCAGCGATTATCATATGCGGTTGTAACATCGCTATCTGGAGAAAGTTTCAACTTCAAGGAATTGTCGCAGGCTTGCAACATCAAAACAGGGACTTACAAAATAAACGCCTGACAAAGATTCTATTGTTTGTTTCTGTCCTTGCATTACTATGTTGGCTTCCTTATATTATTGTTACCAGTTTAATTTTACTATTAGATTCCAACTTTATGATGTCGTGGAGATGTCTTGTTATAATCGACTTTGTTAATTATGCCAACGCATTTGTAAATCCAGCTGTGTATACACTGAGAATACCACAGTTTCGACAAGCTTTATCTCGGTGCTGTTTGGTCAAGCGAGCTGTGGTGAACAGCGAAAATTCTGCAACTGGCCAGGGGGATGAAGCGTCCTCAAGGGCGCCGATATCACTTATAACGTTACAAACTGAGCCTGGACGTGACCTGCAACCACTGAAGAATGAGGAAATTATGGAAACCAAAGTGTGATCAACCAAAAATTAAAAACAGAGTTAAAATGTGCAAGAGAATATAAGCTATATATTCTCTTTAAATAAGTCATTTTAAAATTGCCTCAGTGCTTTGTAATCTAACCGTGTGCATGAGTTCTTAAGAGATCAGAGAAAGGCTTATCTAGAGAATCTGACCATGATTAACAAACCTCATTTTATTTTGTGCCTTTTTTTCGTAAGGTGAATTTAATTCACGGAAAAAATAGTGGAGTAGCATACTCATTTTAAAGAGCCAGCTTTTTCGATTGCTGATCGAGCTCGTTGGTATACTGGCGCTTCTAAGAACTTTGGCTACTAGCAGCTGCCTATGCTGAGTAAGGCCCGCAGTTATTTCGGGTCAGCGTCAACTCTTACAGAGATTATCATCTCTTATCATGTGAATCATAAAGATTCGCGAATGGAGAAGGAATCAAAACTTAACTATAGCACGCTCCTATGACTTATAAAATATAAATCTCACATGGCTTTTTCAATCCTTGTTATGTTTCTTGATTAGGGCTTTTATACTTCGTAGTGAAAATCAGTGAGATATTTTCAATTGCCTAAGTAATCAACGAACACATCGGTTGACAACGTCTGTAAGACATGTCTGAATAATAAATAGCCAAAATACAACATGAGAATCAACGTATACCGTAAGTCATCAACCTTGGATGGTGCTTTTCTCTGCGACCTGAGCCAAAGGCCTGTATATGAAATGCATACAAGGCAATGAATTAGAAAAATGATTAACAAATGAAGTGAAATTTACCAAAGAAGTGCAAAATATATGTGAAATATGCTAAGGATATCGATATACAGTGAAAGATGAACTATCCCCTTAACCCACCGAAGTAAACAAACTAAAATTCAAGTTCAGAATCATATTTAAAATTTCGGCCGAAAAGAGGGGTGCCTATTGGAAGGAGAACGTCTAATCCATGGGGGTATTGGTTCCGCTAAAGTTGAAGCTTAAAATGTTATAAACTGGAGATAATCTACTGGAGTCTCCTTCCCTATGTTGAATTGTTACTGTGCTTCATGTAACCGAGAACGTGAAACAGTTTGAACATAAATTTTTGGTACATCTGCTATATCTATATTTTATAATTTTCGCTCTGACCTTTTCCTGGCTGTGAAAATTGTTTTTTCAGCTCATAACGAACGCGGAAGTTGTAGACTCACCAGAATTCACAAAATTATTTGACCGAGGAAGTGTAAGAATATTAATGCGGCAGAAAGCAAACAACTTAGGTCATCCAACAATCTTCACATATGAAAACTTGCCATCAAAATTTGTTTAGCCTAATAATTCTTTCTTAAAATTCAAAGTTAATGATTTTAACTAGTCTTTCAGGCATGTGCTAGCTAAAAAAAAAACCATCAGAGGAGAACTTTTCTGACACCTTAAAGGCTACGCAGATAAATTTCTGAAGTCCTTCGGGCACGTAGCAATAAACAATGTTTAATTGACATATTTGACATATTTGACATCCGTTCTAAACTTTCAGAACAATCCAATGGAGTACTGGTTCTGCTGAAGCTGAAGCTCAAAAATTTATGAAAAACAATTGCAATTGACATGTTTAACATCCGTTCTAGAATTTCAGAACAATCCAGGGGAATATCGATTCCGCTAAAGCTGAAGCTTAAATGCTTTTTAAGGAAATAAAAGGCTTACCGAAATATCCGCAGTTTGACTTCGACCGCGATCCATCCTTATCAACGCTGAGCTATCCTCTACCTCTCTTTGAAACTAAAACGGTTACATACATTCTGACAAAAGTCAGCGATGAATAAAACAACAGCAGTGAACATCAGCAGAGACAACGGATCTGGGTTATCAGGTGATATTCCTTCTAAAGCTGAAAGTATCGTTTGGTGCAGTGTTCTTGTACTGGCATCTGCCTTGATTGTCATTGGAAACATACCCACTATCGTTCTCTTTGTTGGTAACAAGAGACTTCGCAAGAAAAGTCTGTTTCTCGTCATCAATATGGCGGTTGCAGATCTGATGTTGGGGGCTGTATCTCTTCCTTTTTATATTTACCGAATTGGCGAGGTCGGTTACCACCTATGGACAGCATCAATGGACATTTATCTCGAATCTTTCAGTGTTATTGCTGATAACGTTCCTACAGTAGCTTCACTAGTATCTGCGACCTCCATATCCTGTGAAGGTTTTACGCCTTATATCGGCCGTTTAAACACCGATCCCTCACGAAGCGAACATACCTTATTATAATTCTAATGCTGTGGACAATTTCCACCCTTGATACCGCCCTCTATTTTCTTTCATTCTACCTTCGTTTTCTTGAACATTATAATTATTATTGGTTGACTTTGGGTTCGATATCAATTGCTATCATGTGTGGTTGTAACATCGCCATATGGAGAAAATTTCGACGCGGAACTGTCCCTGGAACACAACATCAAAATAGGGACTTACAAAATAAGCGTCTGACGACGACTTTGCTGTTTGTTTCTATTCTTGCCTTGCTTTCTTGGCTTCCATATATTATTTCAAACACCTTAGTAATTCTAACTGATCTCAACATACCTCAGAGATATTTGGTGGCTATTAATTTTGTCAACTATTCGAGCGCATTTATAAATCCAATTATATACGCATTTAGAATACCAGAGTTTCGACAGGCGTTGGCTCGATCATTTGTAAGGTGGCGAGCTACTGTGAAAGTTGAAAACATTGAAATAGGGGTTGATAAAAGAGCTGCTTCGACGAAAGTGACACCGCTTAGAATATTAGAAGGTGATGTTAGGTTCGATGTGGAAGTTGTGGATACCAGCCTTTAAGAAACCAAGAAAGAGAAATATAAAGGCCACTTCAAAGTGCCTTTTTTATAACAAGTTTGATCACTTCGGCGATGTAACATTACCTGTTGTTAATTAAGAGAGAGACTCTTTGTGAAAAGCCCTACAATCACCTTTCATATCCCGTTATTTTTTAATTAATAAACGACAATAATTTTCTCTTTGTTTGTAGGGCGTATTGCATATGCCAAAAAATAGACATTTTAAATGAAAAAATAAATGATTATCATA